ACCCAAATCCTAATCCACGATGGAAAACTAAATTCTAGTCGGCGTGAGATGTACCAAACTCAAACCCTAATTAACATTACAATTTAATTCATTTATAATTTTAACCTAATTAGCTCCTTTAATTCCATAAATAAAATCACACAACATTTAAACCGAACCTAACACAATCACAGAAAAATAAAACACAATCAAACTAAATAGAATAATTAATCCAATAAGGCAACTTCAAATACAAAATTTAAATTTAAATCAAATGGAAACAAAAAAAAAATAAAACAATTAAGCACCTAGCCACATAAATACCAAAAAATAATTAAAATAAATAATGAAAACAATAAAATAAATATTAAAATTTCAATTATAACCCTTACAAAATCAGGGGTATTACAAGTACCTAATTGACAAATAATATCAAGAATGAGAAACGAATATGCAATGGAAAATAAAATAAAAATAGAAGCAGTCTAATGAACACTATTGTCTAGTTTAATTCCAACAAAACCGTTAATCCCTGGCAAATGCGCCAAAATTTGACGAGCCTTTCTTCTGTGTGTTTAGAAAACGGACTTTGTAATGTGAGAGGTCGCTTCGCAAGGTCAAAATATGAATGTGGTTTCAGAAGTCTTTCCAGTCAAATTTACATTTATAAAACCACCACTATAACTACTGAAGTATAGTGAGTAGGGATCGTCCACATAGATTATACGTGTTGGAATTTAACTTCGACTCTAATGTACCAATTGATTGCAAAGAGAGAGATCGGTTGATTAAACTAAGATGCAAGGAAATTAAAATGCAATTAAAATAAACTAAGTTGAGTTAGGGATTTAAGAGATGAGAAGTGAGGTCTTGGGGTCTATTGAAATTGCCACCAAACTTGTTCACCAAATCACACACTTTCAAATAATTTGGGAAAAACATTATTGTAAACAAAATACGTCTACTATTGCAATATTAAGCATGGACCATCAAATTCATGTATGAATTGTCTACCTAACCGATAAATAAACTAAGTGTAGCACAAAAGTACAACAAATCCTAATATGGCTCTAAGTTTTTAAGAGACGCAACGCGGAAGTCCTATAACGAAAACACTCCTAAGGACACTAGAACCTAGAGTGCTCTGATACCAACAGTGATACCCCCGAATTTCCGTATGCGGGTTGGCCAGGCCCACGCCCGATAACCCGAGGATATCAAATCAATTAACAATAATCGAACACAGAATACAAATAAGAAAAACAAGAATAAATAAATTGCTGAAGAGAAACTAGAATAATAATCCAAAACCTTAGAATAAAATTACAGACTATCAATAACAGTACAGCAATTTAATAACTAAAACCAAAAGCCAGGTAATTGCAGAATAGTTCATACAACACTACAACAATTACAGTTCAAAACCATAATCCAATTACTTGTAAGATAATATCTAAGATCCCACAATTAACATCCAAACCATGTAAATTACAACCTATAAATAACAGTATAGCAATTTACAATCCAGAACCATCCCAAATAATTACAGAAGACTATTTATAGTTTCAGCAATTTAAATCCAAGAGTTAAACCATGTATTTGCAGGAAACGGTTTAAAGGTTCAACAACTAGCATCCATAGCATGCGTAGATCACATCTAATATATCAATGACTCTATAATGCATTAAAAATAAGTTTTTAAATCACATTATAGTCCCATAAATTGCTAGATTAATTTGAGCAACTTAATTTTCTCCATCAGGTAACCGCGTGCTAAGTTGTATACTGATATTCTGTTTAATCTGTTAGCACAGAGCCCCAATAAGCTACAAGTCTAATTGTTATTCAAAAGACTCCATCACACATTTAAACTTTAATTTAGAACTATATTATAGCCCCTTAAATTGTCAAATTAAAATTAGACAATAAATTTCCTTCCAGCCATTACCCGTACGCACAATTGTTAAATTAGCACACTGTTAATTTCATTCACTTAGAGGTCAAGCTTACTCAATTTAAGGACTTAATAACTCTCAAATCCAACCTTCTAATCCCTCTGTAAAACCCTAAAGTCAATAGAAATGTTCCCATGCTCCAATAGTATCCAAACAGTTCGTAGAATTTTTTTCAGAAAATTACTATTTGAAAGAGCCTGCTCTAAATTCCAAGAGCAGGCTCTTTTTTGAGCCTGGAGCCGGCTCTAAGAATGTAGAGCTGGCTCAATGAGTGTGGGAGCCGGCTCCCACATCCATGGAGCCGGCTCTCACCTCCTTTGAGAGCTTCCAGTCCCCGTTTGCTCCGTCCTCGTCCTTCTGCTTCTTCTCCGGCCTATTTCCACCCTTCAGTTGATTTCTAAAACTTATCCTAGGGTCTTATTAATACCAAAACAGACTCCCAGTGGTTTTAGAATAACAATTTGAAATCAAATACAGAGATTTAATTAAGCAATTTACTAGCATGCTTAAAGAGCAAAACTGGAACAGATAATAACGAATTTATTTCAGACCACTTTCTCAGACAACAGATAATGAAATTTGACATATAATAATCATGCAAGATCCATTTAAGACTCAACAAATTCCCTAGAGTCTAAAATTATAACCGGACTAACAAGCTTTTCCAATAAAACTGAAAACAGATGTGTACGAATTCTGTAATAGATTCGATTACAACCCAAACAGATTATCAATATAACATACAATTAACATGTAAGTTTTAGTTTATAATTTATTTAACCCTAGAGACTACCTAGGTGCACAGAATACAAGCCAAAGGGAAGGAGAAAGTAGAAGAACTTGCCTGTAGCTTTGGTCTCAAAACTGTGTTGTCGTCTTCCTAATTTTCGGCAACCACTGACCACCTTCAAGCCTCCTATGGTTTTGGTTTAATCCACCACAACTCTCCCTTGGCCCTCTCTGTTCTCCTTCTAAGTTTTGTTCTGTTTTTACTCTCGTTCAATTCTCTCCAAACTCTCTGTATTTTCACTGTGTCGTGAATAGGGTTATCAAACCCTAGGGACGTATAAGTTACATATTTATAACTAACTCCAAATCCTAAGTCAATAAAAACCCTAGACGTAAATCCTAATTAATTATGTCGGCAAGTCCATAAAAATACTAAAACCCTAAAAGATAATTCATACACTTAATTTAATTAAACAGTTATGTCCATGCAAGAAAATAATTAATAATACACTTAAAGTAAGCATAACAACCAATAATACAATTAATTTAATTAAAATATACTTAACTAAATAAGGCAATTCAAATACAAAACTAACAGTTTAAAACAAATAAACCAATTAAACATTTAAGCAACTAGCCACATAAAAAAAAAAAAAAACAATAAAGATAATTGAAATTCCAATTTTATTCTTTTTAAAACTAGGGGGTATTACAAATTCCCCCTTTATAAAATGTCCTTGGAGTAGTGAACAAGTCAGAAAATAAACCCTTAAAATATCTAATCCCGCAACTATGTGGTGGGTAGAGTTCGGGAGCATATGAATAAAACAGTTCGCTCCCAGCACATTTTTGATCGATTAAAGAAATCTTCGATCGATCGATCCAAAATATCTTCGATTGATAGAATAAATCTTCAATCGATCCAAATTTTCAGCATTTTTAACTTTTTTTCTGGATTTTTCTGAAATATTTCTGGAACTTTTGCTTAATTCCAAAAAGGCTGTAATAGACCATTTTTAGCCCGTTTGAACCTTATTAACCTGAAATAGACAAAAACACAAATAAGTACTAAAACGGAAAAATAAAGATAGATGAATGGACTAAAATACCCTCGCTTAGGTGCTAATATGTGTCACATTTGAGCGCTCATCATCTGTTGTCCACCGCCACCTTCCACCACTGCGACCACCCGCCGCCTTCCAAACCACCACCTATACCACTACTGTATATTTTTCACCTCCACTATCATCTTCATCGCCATCCAACACCACCACCATTTCTTTTATAAAAATTATAAAAGAATGTTATTTTGTTAACTTAATTAATTGTCATTAAGAGGGGTATTTTGGAGAATTCAATTCAAATTCATTATATTCTAAATTTTAAATTTGTCCAACCAAACACTAGAATGATTATTCATATACATATCATATTTGCAACCAAATAATAGAATTAGAATGACTATTCTATTATATTCCCATGCTCATTACATACTTGCATTTCATTCCATTCCTGCAAAACAAATGCAACATAATAGCAATCATATTTGTGGAAGGAAATGAAAGGAACCATTTTATTGAATTTACAACTATACCCTTTTTATAGATTTAATTTTTTATAAAATAATGACAAATTTGATATTAACAAAGTTGCATTAGAAATATTTGTCTTTCATCCCATTTTGAAATGATAACAAAAGTTACTATTCATGCCTTATTGCATTCCACTGAATCCTTTATTTTCCTTCCAACATTTCATACTAGAAACAATCTATCATCTTTATTACCATTATTATTATTTTTTTCCTTTCATTTCCATTGTGCCAAATTGGCCCTAAAATCACAACATAAGAGATTACGGATTATATATTAAAATTAGAGGTGCAACTTGGGTTACGTAACCCGAACCCACCCAAGCCCAACTTGATTTTTTATGGGCTTAGACAATCATTTTTATGATTAAGTTTGGGTTTTGGATGAAAAATTCTAACCCAAACTTAATTAGGGTTGAGTTTGGGTTGAGGTGCTATAAACCCGGGTCGAACCTGAACCCGGATTCTATATATATTTTTTTCCATATATATTTTTATTTGAAATGCATTATATATACTATTCAAATTACGATCACCTTTTTTCTTTCTAACTTCATTTGGTAAATCGTAATTTATTTTATGTTAACATTTAGTAGAATTAATTTTCTAAGAGTTTGTTGGTAATTTATTTATAAATTTGCAATAAGTTTTTAAAACTTTTTTTAAGAGTAATTTAATCATAAAGTAATTCAAGCCCACATTAAATTTGCACCGTGGAGATTGGTCATATGGATAACTTGAATTAGTCTGACTTTCTAACCCGAAATTTAAGTTCGAATTGTAAACCCGAGTTCAAAAAAAAAAAAGAAAAAAAAAAAAGAGATGAACTTGGGTTTAATAGCTAGGGTTGAATATAGAGTTAAGTTTAAGATCGGATTGAATGTAAGGTTAGGATTGGACTCGATTGAACATTTTATATATTGAGTTGCTCCAGTTCGCTTGAGTTGCAGCCTAATTTAAATCTACCGGGTCTAACAATTTTCGAGAAAAAAATGGGGAAGGGGCGGCGCAGATTAGGCTAAGTTATTATACTTACAACTCGCTCGAGTTCCACAGTTATAGGGAAAAAAAAGGAGAAAGGAAGGGCGGCGTTTGTAAGTCACAAGGCGCGTTGGAGTTTTGTATGCCTCCCACCCCAACCAAAAAAGGAAAAGAAAAACCTACACCCTTCCCATCTCTCTCACCCAAAAACTTGCAACAAAAGCTCTATACCCATTTTCTCTCACACCCGAAAGCCCTAGATGCAACAATGGCATTAAGCTACTCCCTCTCACACCGAAAAACCCTAGATGCAACAATGGCATTAAGCTACTCCCTCTCACACCGAAAAACCCTAGATGCAACAATGGCATTAAGAGCTCTCAACACAATCTACTCGAAGCTCCTCTCTCGAATGGCTGTTTGTTCCCTCCGCACATTCGCTCCCATCAACTCCAATTCCGAATCAGATATTCCAACTAATAATTCGGATTCGGACTTACGTTCAAAACAACTTCCTCATGCCGAAGGTAAGAAAAACAGAGCATTCAATCGATTTATGAAAGACGGGTCAACGTTCCCCCGCAAGGTGTTGAACGACGACGAGAAATATGCGAGGATGGACATGCCGGTGACCCGGAAGCAAGGGCTGAAACTGCTGGTTGCAGACAACTCTCTGAATGCCTTGGAAGAGGTGGATGATGATCCTCTGTCCGTGGAGGAGTACCGAATGAGTTACTTCGGCAACATCGATCTTCCTCAGAGCCTCTACAAGATGGGAAATATCGTAACGGAGCTCAAGGACATTGCGTTTAGCTTGAAAGTAAGTATTACTTTAGTAGAATCGGATATTTAAGTTGTGCTTGTAACTAATAGGTTTTTTTATTTTTTATTTTTATAAAAGAATTTGCTTTATCAATTTGGGACTACAATTGATGGGATTTCAAATACCGGGTAGATTGGAGAAGAAAAATTTAATCCTTTGAACTAATTTTTCTTTAATTAATTCCAAAGCACCAAATCCATGCAAACCCACACCGTCTATAAGGAAACAAATGTCTAAGATCTTCTTACTCTCTAGTTTATATTTATCTCTAGACTCTTGAGTGCTTTCCGTATGTCTAATGTCTTCCTACCCTGTAGTTTTTCTTTTATTTCTATATTCCATTCCATATCACATCTTCCAACTGCACTCAAGTTTAAACACTAAACTATTATATCACGCTCAATGAATTTGCGCCTACTCTTATTTATATTATAAAATTGGTTCTAGAATTATTAAAAAACATATTTTAAAGATATTTACGAGCAATCAGACAAATTTCTAGTTTAGAACATTTTGAGAAGTTAAAGTTCATTTTTTTTATATACTCATTTTACAATTTTATATCTATATATAATAATATTTTCACTTCGAATCCCATCTTACATCCAAACTAAAAACTGAATTTCTTTCTTTCTTTCGAATCCAATTGTTCCAAACATACAAATGGAATTTCATTTTAATTCCTATCTAATCCCAATTCCAACTCCTTTTTCATATTCAAATCCCAAAAGGAACTTTTTTTGGATAAGTAAGGTTTTATAAAAGGCCCTCAAAAGGGGAGCGATCCCAAAGAAGACAACGGCGGACCCACAATCGGCTCTATAGCTTTAAGCTATCCACAAAATTCAAAAGACTATCCATTGAATTACAATCCCGCCCATATACGCAAAAAAATAAAGAAGTAAGAATATTGTATTTAATAGCCCAAATGGGAGACTCCTCTCCTTTAAAGAATCTCCTATTTTTTTCGCACCACAGACCTTACCAAATACAAAGGGGAGTGGCCCTCCAAGCATCTCTGACTCGACTTTCCACTCTCCATCCTTTCTAAGTCTTTAACAAGTCGACCGTGGATTTTGGGAACACCCATGGAAGACCAAACGCAACCCAAAACATAGCCCAAACATCCCTAGCTACTGAGCAATGAATAAGGAGATGGTTGACAAATTCCCCCATCTTCTTGCACATGTAACACATGTCAACCACAATATGACTTCTTTCTCTAAGGTTATCAATAGTAAGGCTACTTCCCAAAGTGACAGTCCACGAGAATAATGCCACCTTCAGAGGAGCTTTTGTCCTCCAAATGGCTTTCCAAGGAAACATAGGGCCAGGGCGCTCCAACATGCATTTGTAGAAAGAATTGACCTCGAACACTCCTCTCGGGGTACCCACCCACAACATCTCGTCCATTCCCACCCTAACCACCACCTGTTTATAGATGAATGCTAGGAAGTCTGTAACCTCCAAAAGTTCCCAATCGTGAAACTGTCTGCGGAACTACACATCCCAAGTCACCTTCCCATTATCGAGTCGATAATAGTTAGCGACCACCGCATCTCTAGCCATAGCAATCCGGTAAATGCGAGAGAATCTACTGGCTAAATCCGAATCCCCACACCATTTGTTTTCCCAAAACTTGACATTACTTCCGCTTCTAACTTTGAACCGAATACGTTTGGAGAATTCATCCCAACCTCTACGGATAAGTTTCCAAGAGCCCATACCTGCTAGGGTTCTAGGCTCCTAACCTTCCTAGAAATCCACCCTTCATCGCCCTCCCCGTAATGACAAGCTATAACACGCCTCCAAAGCTTGAACCTTTCTCTCCCGAACCTCCACAACCACTTGCCCAACAATGCCTTATTAAACACATCTAGCCTTCGAATCCCCAAACCCCCTTTATTAATTGGAGAACACACCCTCTCCCAGTTAACCAAGTGGTACTTGAACTCACCTCCTACACCCCCCACAGAAACTTCCTTTGAATATTATCAAGTCTTCGAACAACTGTCTTAGGCATCGGAAATAGCGACATATAGTAGGTCGGAAGATTTGAAGTGTGCTTTTCATAAGTGTAACCCTCCCCCCTTTGGACAAGTATTGCTTTTTCCAACTTGCAAGCCTCTTCCCAAACCGCTCAACAATCGGATCCCACACAGAAACTCTCCTTGATGAGGCTCCCAAAGGGAGTCCCAAGTAGGAGATCGGAAAAGAGCCAACCCCACACCCCAGAGTATGCCAAGGCATGAATATCATCCACCTATCCAACTGGTACAATCTCGCTTTTCACAGTGTTAATCTTCAACCCTGAAACAACTTGGAAGCAGGCCAGTACGCACCGTAAATACCTCAACTGAAGGTGGATAGCATCACAAAAGACAATGGTGTCATTCACAAAAAGCAGGTGGGAGATGACCAACTGATTTGGAGCTTTACCCACCGAGAATCCATGAATGAACCCAAGATCACCCGCCCTCCCCATCAGATGGCTAAAGGCCTCCATGACGATAATAAATAAGAATGGGGAAAGAGGGTCCCCCTGCCTCAATCCAAGGGAACTAGCAAAAAAACCAGCTGGGGATCCATTCACTAAAACAGAGAATCGAGCAGTCGAAATACAGAAAAAAATCCACGACCTCCACTTTTGCCCAAAGCCCATTCTCTCCCTCAGGTACATCAAAAAATTCCAGCAAATATGATCATAAGCCTTTTTGATATCCAGCTTGCAAACAACCCCCGGAATACCACTTCTCTCCCTAGCCTCAATGCATTCACTAGCAATCAAAATTGAATCCAGAATTTGACGCCCTCCACCAAATGCATTCTGGGAGTTTGAAATCACCCCTTTGAGAACTCTCCACAACTGAAGACTTTTGCAATAATTTTATACACCACCCCAACAACACTAACTCCTTCGCCTCACATGCTCCACCCTCTTTGGGAATAAGAGTGATGAAGGAAGTGTTGAGGCTCTTCTCAAAAGAACCATGCAGAAAAAAAGAATCCAATGCCCCCATCACCTCAGCCTTCACCACCTCCTAATTCTGATGAAAGAAAGCTAAAGTAAACCCCTCCGGCCCTGGAGCTTTATCCCCATCACAGCTTCTTAGAGCCGCCAACTCCTCATCTTCCCCAAACGGCATTTCAAGCCCGTTTCTATCGCCTTCCGAGATTGTTGCAAACTCAAGCTCATTTGAAAAGTTGTTCATTTGAACTAGACTTGGTTTATAGCGTGCCCCTGTAAAGAGGTGATGATATGCTGTGTTTACATTTTTCTGAAGGAAAGAGGCATTGAAGGTTACAATGACAGAGAGGGCTCTTTCTGCAGTGAGGTCCTATGTTCATATAGAGTAAATTAAATAGAGGAGTCCTCTCCTTCTGAAAGCTTCTAAGGACTAATCCATGTGAGGGAGCCTTTAGTTTCTGGGAGACATTGATTCGCAAAAGATGGAATTTTGCCAGCGGTGGGATTCATGGGCGTAATAGGAAACTATGATTTGTAGTCTCTGCCTATTTTTACATGTCAATTACCTTACTTCTGTTTTTGCTTCATGTTCTTTTTAAATATTGGAGATTATAGCAGAATAGGTGGTTTATTTTTGCAGTATTTCAATTAAGCTCAACATTTCTGGAAGGGGAATTGTAGCATCAGGCTAGATTGTTTGTCAGGAACCTTTTATTATGATCCCCATAGTAATTATTCAATTAATTTGTCAGTTCCATTGAACAAGATTATGTACCATGTAGACCACTTTCTTGTGTATTTCTGGTATTCTCCATCCCTTAGAATGAATACTGTTGTTATAGGTGGAATATGAAGCATCCGGAGTGAGCTTTTGGTAGAAATAGCTAGGGGCACTTCCATACAGGATCTTCATGCAAGGTTAACAAATTACTTCAGAAACCCCCCCCCCCTCCTTTTCTTCTCTCTCTCTCTCTCTCTCTCGTGTTTTCAAAAACAAACTCATGAGATGGTGGATAACAATTAGGAAGTGCGAAAAATCGAGAGCCCACTTAGTGACACTGACAGTGCTCCCTTGGCTGTTTTTCTTTGGTAGAACACTTCCATTGATTTTAAAAGTGACATTTATATTGGGACGGAGGGAGTATTATTTATAAGTAACATATCATAAAATAGCGCTTGAAAAGGGAGCATAACCCAAATAGAAAGCTCACAGCCAAAACAATATGCTATATCCTCAAAATATCCCTAAAATTATCATATCTTCTACAAATTTACAATTTCAACCGTTTACCATAACAACTAACAAAAATAAGAATATAGAAAGAATAGAGAATTTGAGTGCCCAAGTAGGAGTCTCCTTCCCATCAAGAGATCTCCTATTACTCTCTCTACCAAATACCTGACCACCAGCAAAGAGGAGCAATTTTCCAAGCATCTCGAACTTGCTTCTATTGTACTTTCTCTTCAAGCTGTAAGCATGCTGTTTGTAGAATGAGGCATGACCAAAGAGACACTAAAGCAGGCAAGAATAAAGCCCTATCTGTCCCTAGTCACTGGGCAATGCAAGAGTAGATTGTTCACCGACTTCTCATCCATCTTACACATACAACACCAATTGACGATCAGCTACGCTGACTCTGCCTTCTCCTGAGGTTTATCAATGGTCAGAATCCTCTCTAAGGTTGTCCGCCCTAAGACCATGGTTGTTAAAATCGCGTTTCTAACTCGTATAATCGCACGATTTTACGATCCAACATGCCCAAATCGATCCGAATCGCCTAAAAATCGTTGCTTGTGTAGAATCGCTGGGAGTGTGGGTAGAATCGTGGGATCGTACGATTCTATACGATCCCAGTGATTCTAAATTACTCCATGTTTGTGGTCTTGTTTTGGGTTTAAGAGTTGTCAGAATAAGAAGAAGCCCTAGATCGATTAGCATAGTGCCACAATTCCTTCTCTTTCGCGGTCGACAAAGCAGCTCCGACGAAGAGATAAGATGCCTGAGGAAAAAAAAAAAGGAAAAAAAGAG